TGAAAAATATTCATCTGTGACCAGCTCCCAGTTGGCTTGATATTATAAAAGAATAAAGGAATATCACAGCTGAATTAAATAAAACGTTCTGCTCACAATAGTCACTCTAGTGTAATTTGCTCAACAAAATTTTGAATTCTGAATCTTGAATTTTTTCCGTGATCCGATCCGTGATCCGGTCCGATCCTGATTTTGTCGACGCCGCACCTAGGGATTTTTTGTACGAAATTCGCTGACTCTTGACGGCCTTTTTTTTTTCCCCGCAAAGTAGTTGACAGATCAAAACAACCACAACGCCCCAAGCTGACGTCAGTGAGTTAGATTTTTTTTCTCAAGCGGCGGATCAGGGCAAAAAAAAAATCATTGCACTCGACAAAACTTGATCGGGTAGTTTTTTTTTTGGTGGACAACTTTGGTAGGACTACACGGAGCTAAAGAAAAAAAATTTATGAAACGGCGAGCAGCGACAGGTCACAAAAAAAGCCGAAATTTTTCTCGACCGGCGCTGACGCCACACCACGGCTTATTTTTTCCCCCGCTCTTTCAGGTCACCGGAATCCACCAAAAGCAATTTTTTTTTTTAAATCAGTTTACGAGTTCTAGAATAAGTCGATAAAAGACAAAAATTATTTTGAAACGAATTGTTCTCTGTGGGTTCTGCGCGAACAAATGAACGAGTTCGAAAGCCAAATAAATATACGCCATGAAGGATTAAACGAGCAAGCCCCAAAAATTCCCACGACTGGTCCAGTAAAACAATATTTATATAAAAAAATGAGTGAGCTACTTACAGTTTTTTCGACATCTTCGCCACCGGCTACGCTGACCAGCTGTAAAGGCAAATAAACCAGTCAATTCACCAAACGTTTTTTTTCTTTCGGGTTTTTTCAGTCAGGAGTCTGTCCAGTATGTTTGGAAAGCGAAGGGGAGCGATTACCCTGCTGCCGAGCTGACATAGACACCATTTGCTTGGAAGAATGGATTTGGCTGGGAAATTCCATCGAGTGCCCCTTGCTGTAAACAAACACTCACACCAACTCACATTCAAAGTCTACTGGTGGGCCGATTTAAACGCGTTCCGGGCATGAAAGCCGAGTTGATCCAAGTAAGGCCGGTGGAATTCTCGATTGAAGTTAACCATTTTTTTTAAATAACAGAATTTTTACCGGGGTTTTTTTTTTTCACCCTAGGATTTAGAACGAGGTAAACGCCAACGAGTCGAAGCGTGGGCGAGCGGGAATTCAGCGGCCATCTCAAGAAGCAATACCGAATTTCAAGAAATTGAACAACTCGGCCTGCATTGGTTCAGACTCAATTTCGTGGATTTAATACCCCATGTAACCATGGAAGGGGATTTAGTAACCTTTACATTTAGGTTCTAAAATCTGTTTTAAAGCAATAAATTTCTGTCAAAACTACAACCGGACTTTTTCTCTCAAGCGCGCGCACTGTCACAATGGCAGACAACCCAGGGGAAAAAAAAACTAACAACTCACCTAGTTCGTCGAGACCGGCTTAGTTTCACTCCATACAATATTTAGAACAACGTGACGGACCAGCTTCCATTCTTGTTAACTGCAAGTATATTAAGAAAAAAAAACCTACTGGGTAGTTTGTTCGAGCAAGCGCAAAGCTTTTCACTTCCATTGAACACCGAGCGCTCGGGTCTCTCTTCGTATAACATGCCGAAAAAACTCACCTGCACAGTCAACTCAGGGTTTTTCTTCCAGTAATTTCAGCCCCAGCCATTTCGCTAAGAGTGGTTTAACCATAAATGTTTTTGCACCGCTCAAAAAAAACCCGCCCGTCCACTCGAATTCACTGCACGTTATGCTAAAATCGCTAAAACCGCTAAAACCACGCGCTCTTCTAGGCTGGCGTCATTCTCGTCCCCAGTGCTACTCGTCTTAAAATGCCGTTTCTCCGACCACGTGACCAAAAGAAACGGAGG